AGATTGCAATGGGAGGGCAGCTTGGGAGCCACCGTGCTAGCCCTGTTCCAGGTGCTTATGCATCCAATCCTTAAAGCGACCTGTAACACAGGTCCCAACCGACTCCACACCAGGACCACCTGGCACTTTCAGAAATCCAAACCCAGGTTCTCTGGCTCCAGTTTTTTCCTAACAACCACTATACAGGGTGGGGCAAAAGTAGGTTTACCGTTGTTCATATGGAAAATAATACAATAACTAATAAATACGAATAAACTGTTTTGTGTACTCAAAACCGCACACCCACTTCTGCCCCACCCTGTATTTGTTGAATAAATGAGTAAATGATTCCTAATCCATTCTTTACCACTCTGCAAGCTAGGGTTTCACAAAGCAGGGGACAGAAGCACAGACGTTACTCAAAGGTGCCAGAGGTCACACGACTGGTTGGTGGTGAAGTCAGGACTTGAACCAAGAGCCAAGACTCTGGCCCACGCTCTTTCCCCTGTGCCACTGGAGCTGAGTACAGGGCTGCCCTAGGCGAGCCCCCATGCTCACCTCGGTGATGAAGTTGCCGATTTCATCGGGGTTGGCTGGCCGCTGACGGTACATGGGCGTGGGGATAAAGGCTGGCGCCACATCGTTGCGGAGAACCACCTTGGGCCGGGCCTCCAGACCCCGGTGGAGTTGGGTGATGTCATAGTCCTTTGAGAAGGGAGAGCATGAGATTGAGAAGGACTCCCCTGCTCCCCCACTATCAACACCTCACCCCACTTCGCTCCCAGTTGGATGTTCTGGTTCATGGGTAGGTCTGCGAAGACAGAAACGTCTGTGATTTCTGAAAGCCCTAGTCTCCACATCCAGGCTGAAGGTCACCTTATTTGGGGTCAAAGAGACCACAGCAATGGACCAGATACCCTCTCAAGAAGGGGAAAGCTGGTGGTGGATCCTGCACGAAGATTAACGCTTTCGGCCAGGGGTGGGGAACGCCCACTCATTTGGTCTGGCCCTGCCAAGGCATTAGGGGTGAGTTAATTAAATGTCTGACCAAATAGACCAGGCTGATTTTTAAGCTGATAATTTTGTGTGGCCCGAGATGTTGCGTTAGGCCAGGGTCTGGTCAATGTCGCTAAGTA